TTCACAACTGCATGTGGTTGCGTCCTTACAATCCCACCAGCCCTTTGGGCGTGAGTGGTTTAGAGAGCTCTCTCTGTCCTCAACCCCCCTTCTTCCCCTTCGGGGAGGGGTTAACCCCTCCCCCTACCGCCCCCCCCCCTGGGCCTGGAGAGGGCGGGCCGAGCGTCGTCAGGGGGGTCGTTTTCGACTCCTGGGAGGGCCAAAAAAACGACGACCCTCACGAGGATTCTGGCCCCGACGGGGGGACAGAGTTTGGCCCTTCTGCTCTTCTTTGAAGCAAAAATCATTGATTTTACTACGGTGTTGGCCCCATTTTGGCGTCCTGAGGGGGCCGCGCTCGTCTTCCTTCATAGCAAAATCATTGATTTTACGAAGGTTTAGGGCTCATTTTGTCCTTTTCAGGGGGCAGCTCTCACTGGCGCTTCTGAGGAGGTCGCACGAGGCCCCAAAATGGCCCCAAGAGGCCCCCAGGAGGCTCCCAAGAGGCTTCCAAGAGGCCCCCCGGAGGCTCCCAAGCGGCCCCAAGAGGCCCCCAAGATGCCCCCAAGAAGCCCCCAAGAGGCCTCCAGAGGCCCCAAGAGGCCCCCAAGAGGCTCCCCAGAGGCCCCCAAGATGCCCCCAAGAGGCCCCAAGAGGCTCCAAGAGGCCCCCAAAAGGCCCCACGAGGAGCCCGAACGACTCACACCAGGACGAGGGGCCCGAACGACTCACACCACGAAGAGCCCGAACGACTCACACCACAAGGAGGGGCCCGAACGACTCACACCAGGACGAGGCGCCCGAACGACTCACACCACGAGGAGCCCGAACGACTCACACCACGACGCGGGCCCCGAACGACTCACACCACGAGGAGCCCGAACGAGTCACACCAGGAGGAGGGGCCCGAACGACTCACACCAGGATGAGGGGCCCGAACAACTCACACCACGAGAAGCCCGAACGACTCACACCAGGACGAAGAGCCCGAACGACTCACACCACGAAGAGCCCGAACGACTCACACCAGGAAGAAGGGCCCGAACGACTCACACCAGGACGAGAAACCCCAAACGACTCAAATCACGAGGAGCGCTTTCTCTCCCTCCTCCTCCGCCTCGTCCTTCTCCCGCTCCCCCCACAAGGAGGATGTACAAGGAGGCGGGAGGAAGGAGGAACAGGGGAGATATGCGGGGCCAAGCGGACACACGCCTGAAAAAACACGACTGTCGGCATGCTTCGCAAGAGTTGCTGCTGTGAGATGGGCTGGTGGGGATACGCGAAGCGTAAAGAATTGCGGCATTCACAACTGCATATGGTCGCGTCCTTCGCCAAGCTATTTTTTTTGGGGTCGGCGGCTCCAAGGCAACGGACAGGGAGCGGAAGCGGCGTCCGGGTCACGGTACGGGGCTAATTGCAAGACAATTCGCCGCCAACCGGAATCGGCAGACAGGCAGCTCGCACCTGCACATGCACTGAACAAAATGAATAGAATTTGTGAGGCATACGCACATAGGCGCAGCAGCCCAAACCACAGTGGGCAGGCCGCCGTGCGCGGTGAACGTGCGGATGCTCCGAAAGGAGTCGCCAGGGCGGCGCCAGACTTCCGTGGCCGAAGCCGACCGGCAGAGCGGCCGGGACCAGAAACAGTGCGCGACAGAGGGGAAAACCAAAGGCTGCACAGGCGTTGTAGGCTGAACCACTCAGCGCCCAGCCCTCACTTCCGCATCCCATTGCCGAGGGGAAAGCCAAGCGACTGTGCCCAAGGCGCGACTGCGCGGTGCCGCCACCTGAAGCGGGGAACTCCGCTGGCGTGGGGAGCACCGTCGTCGGATGGTGATGGTCGGCACACTGGTGGTGGTGTCGTCTGCGCTGCCTGCCAGGGGGGTTCTGCTGCCGTGAAGCTGAGGTGGCCGGCCAACCCAGACTGTCGCATGGCGCCTCCCCTGAGCCCAAGCGCCAGCACACACCACGTGTCCCCCCAGGGCCGTGGAAACTGCCGCTGGGGGTGCTGAGCGGGACCACGAGCAGCACGTACCACGGCGCGAACAGGGAGGGGGGGGTCCCAGCACCAACGCGAGCGCCGCGACGGGCGAGCCCCGGAACCACGGGTGGGGGACACCCACCGGGCCTGGGAGGGGAGAGGCGAGGGGACGCAACGCCTCACCCCACGGCCAGGTACCCTGCAGCCGTGGGCCAGGGGCCGCGGCCTGCCACTTGGATCGTCCTGGGGGTCGCAGCGAATCGCCGCTAGCACTTGCATGGAAGAAAGGGGGGTCGCAGCTAATCGCCGCTAGGATATTTTACGCATCGTGGGGGTCGCAGGTAATCGCCGCTGAGGTCTCTGTTGAATGTGTGCGCACGGGTGACGGCCCACCGAGGCCGCAATCAACTGCGAACGGTTGACGGCCCACCGGGGCTGCCGTCAACGCGGAGGATGTGGGCCAGCAGCGAGGTGCGTCCCCGGGGGTGGGTCCCGGGGGGGCGCAGCTACTCGCCGCTGGAGCCGGAGCTGCAAAAACTGTGGCCTGAAATAACAGGCCGGTAGGCTGGCGCGCAGGGGGGGTTCCTTCTGACGACGTCTCCCTGTCACCGAAGGGTGGGTGGCTGTCGCCGTTGGACAGCAAAGTGGGTGGCCCTGGGGCCGGTCAGTCCAGTGGGCTGGTCCCATGGCCAGGCGCCGCGAGGTGAAACAGGCCCCGACGCTGGCGAAGGTACGCGAAGCGTCAAAAATTGATGCGCGTCTCCGTCGTCGTCACCGTCCTCCAGGGACCATCATCTACTGATGTATACCCAGCATGTGAGTCGACATGTTCTGGAACGTGGTTCCTAACAGCAAATAGTCTGCGCGAGTTGTCTCGCCCCCTACATCATCGTGAGGGCTATTGCCGACTAGACTCATGAGAAGCACGAAGGCTGGGAACACGCTGCCAACTTTCAACGCTCTGCCAACACACGCAATGCAATCTGCGCCAATGTACCGCCAACATCGTATCCAGTACATGTAAGGGCATAACCGATTTTTTCGGCCAACAAGTAAGTGTACACCTCTATGCGGGCCGTCCTGGATTGCAAGTTCACGCCCCTTTTGCCTCGCAAGCGGCCGCGGGTAAACCTGCTCGGTATGTTAACGCCAAAGGGTCGTAACGAGATGGATGGTGATGGTGCGGACATGAAGGAGGAGGCGCAGGCTGAGGGAGGACTCGAAAAGAGGAGGGACAGAGGAGGAAGAGGGGGAAGACGAGGAGGAGGCGGACGTGGACGAGAAGGGATGATGATGCTGAGGAGGAGGAGGAGGAGGAGGAGGAGGAGGAGGAGGAGGAGGAGGAGACGAAAAGGGGAGGAGAAATGAGGAGAAAAGGAGGAGGAGGAGTATGCCTGCCTGTCTGTCGGTCTGTCTGATTCATGTGAGCTCCAATCTCTACTGGCGCCTACCTGTTGTTTGGTCTGAGCTTGGACTGTTGTACCAGACACTTCCTCTCGGGGGTGCCCACACTCCCAAAAGGGTCCCGAGCAAAAAAACTCACAAAAGAGAGACTGCGGGGCCTCGAGAACGGTGGAACGGCGGCTGGCCCTTTGGTCGGGGAGCCCCACGCGGGGCGGGCCCACGTGCGGGGACACAAAGGCAACTCCCACACTCCCGAACGCGGCTGGGACCCAACTGCATCCCAACCTCTGCGAGTCTATTTGGCTGGCTTGACCAGACGCACTAGTTTGTTTTGGGGCGCTCTTCCAGGCTTATTGTTGAAACCTCAGGCCCTACAAAGCTGATGCAACACATTCTCAACTGCCACGGTCCAACCTCCTCCTTCACTTACCTCGACCCCGGGCAGGGTGCGAATGACGCGAGCGGCGGCCTTGTCAGCTGCCTCCTTTTTCGCGTCTTCGTCCCCGAGAGTGTCCCGCGTCAACGTCTGATCCTCGAAAACGTTCGTGGCCTCGGGCGCGAGGTCTTGGACCAGAGTAGACCCCAACACCTTTACCGATATCCTGCTGATCGCCTGGCCCTGGGTGTTCGAAGTTCCGCACTATTTGGTCCAAGTGCTAGCCGTGGGCACGTCACGTCGCTCTTCGTCATCATTCGCAGCAGTCGGTCTGGTACTTGACGAAGATGCTTGACTGACTGCTGCTGGGCGCCCTGCTGCTCGAGCCAACCGCTGGAAAAACCCTCAGAAGTGCGGCGACACTCTGCAATTCTGGTGGTCCGAGGCCGTGCGTGTTGGCCTTCCCCTCCACCTTCTTCTGGTAATCCTTGTATGTCGTCTTGGGCGCTGTGACATTCTCGTCGTCACTGGGGCCATAAACTGTGAGACCCGCTCCGAACCCCAACGACCTGATCCTCGACCCCAAGTGGCGCAGCAACTTGGTGTTGGCGTGCGACTCGTCGTTCTTCTCGGCATTGCCCTTGAGAGCACTGGGCACGAGCCAGTCCGCCATCTCGTGCATCTCGTGCTTCCTGCTCCGCTAGTTTGCCGAGAGTCTCCTGATACCTTGGAACCTCGAACTGCAAATGATCTTGGAAAATCTGCCAGTCCACCTGCGGAGATCATCGTCGTCGATTCCGACATGTTCACAAGCTGGACAACCGAAAACGTTCGGCAAGATAGCTGTACCATGTGTTTGTCCTCTGTCCGTGTGGCAGATCCCTCGAAGCATATCATTATGATGTGTCTCTTGACATACTCAATGGAAGAGAAATTCGATCCACAAATCACGCATTGGCTGGAGATACCACACATTCTGGCCAGGAATTACTTTCCGTGCGTTCCCCCTTTCGTCATCCGGTAGTGTGCGGCAAGCTGCTTTCTTGTCTGGAAGCGTTCGCCGCACTCCTCCCCGTCTCCTCTCATGGCCATGCAATTGTGCGGTCTTCTTTTCTACCTCCTTCTGTGCGTGCTCATGCTGTGCGATGTTCAGGAAATAGTGCGCCCTGATCGGAGGAGGAGGAGGAGGAGGGGGAAGAGGAGAAGGAGGAGGAAGAGGGAGGACGAGTAGGAGGAGGACGGAGTAGATAGGAAGTCCTGCGCGAGCGGCCCCGCCATGCCCTCGTCGGGGCCGAGATCCTTCTTGCTCTTCGACTGTATGCCCCACCCGATCCAACTCACCAAGATCCTGGGGCCGAGCAAGTGGGAGGGGGATGAGGAGAGGAAGCGAAGCGAACGTCGGTGTCGTGCCCATACGGGCATGGCGTGGAGGCCGTGACCTAAAACCTGTTTTAATTGGGAAGACTCACGTCGTAACTACCGTAGGAGGAAGGGACGGGGGAAGGAGGAAGATCGAGCGTCGATGACCGCTGTTTCTGGACGTTGCTTTTGTCTGGGGCCTCCTTGGGCGCAGGGCGGATGGAGGAGGGAGGATGCTGGTCAAGGTGTGGCAATGGTGGCAAGGCTGGAAAAATCAAAAGGCGACAAATGCATGCACGTGTAAACTCCAGCAATCCGCGGATCACAGATTTGCGCCCGTACTCGGCGTCCTCCCCACACCCCTGGGCGGTGCCTTCGAAACCGCCCGCCCCACTGCGCGCTGGAAGGGGTGTGAGGAGGAAGACCAGCACCGCCGACGAACAAGTGCGGCCCGCGGACGTCCAAATATCGGAGAGCGCGTGATCCACCACAACTTCACTGTGGAAAATTACCCCCCTCTTCCTCTGGTTCGAACCCCCCCCACACTCACCACTGGCAAACGACTCCGGGGTCCCCACCACCGTCCTCACCACCGCCCTCACCGCTGTCCCCAGCACCACCGTCCCCACCACCACTGTCCTCACTGTTCCCACCACTGTCCCCACCACTGTCACCACCACTGTCGCACTGTCCCCACTATCCTCAAAACTGCGCCCCACAGTCCCACTCCCCACTGTCCCCACTGTCCCCACCACTGTCCCACTGTCCCCACTGTCCCCACCACTGTCTCACTGCCCCTACTGTCCCCGCCGCTGTCCCACTGAGCTGTCCCACTTTTCCCACCACTGTCTCCACTGTCCCAACCACTGTTCCCACTGCACCACTGCTGCATTATCCCACCACCGCCCTCACCACTGTCCCCACCACCACCGTCACAACCACTATCCCACTGTCCCCACCACTGTCCCACTGTCCCAACACCACTGTCCCCACCACCACCGTCCCCACCACTGTACCACTGTCCCCACCACTGTCCCACTGTCCCCACTGTTCCCACCATTTCCCCACTGTCCCCACCAATGCCCCACCAGTGTCTCACTGTCCCCACTGTCCCCACCACTGTCCCACCACGGTCCCGCTCTCCATTGTCCCCACTGTCCCCACCACTGTCCCACTGTCCCCTCTGTCCCCACCACTGTCCCACTGTCCCCACTGTCCCCGCCGCTGTCCCACTGTGCTGTCCCAACTGTTCCCACCACTGTCCCACTGTCTCCACTGTCCCCACCAATCTCCCCACTGTACCACTGTCCCATTGTCCCACCACCATCCTCACCACCGCCCTCACCACTGTCCCCACCACCACCGTCCCCACCAATGTCCCACTGTCCCCACCACTGTCCCACTGTCCCAACACCACTGTCCCCACCACCACCGTTCTCACCACTGTCCCAGTGTCCCCACCACTATCCTACTGTCCCTAAGAACGGGAATCGTTTGCCGGCGGCGGGGGGGGGGGGGTTGAACCGGTAATTGCCCCCCCCCCCCCCCCCCTTTTCATGATGGACTGGGGGGAGGGGGGACGGGGGGGTTCGAATCAGTAGTGACCCCTCCCCGGTTTTCGAGGGGGGGGGGCGGATTGGGACCCCCCAGTGAACCCCCCGGTTTTCCGCCAGCAGCGGTAGAACACGCTCTTTCAATTATTGTATCGCTGAGTTGAGCAAGGATCGACCGTTCTGGCATTCCTGTAGGCCTAGCACGAACTTTTGTTCGAAGATAAAAGCTGTGGAGTAAAACAGTAGCCTGGCGAAGGACCCAACCATATGCAGTTGTGGGTACCGTCGTTGTATGCACCGCATTCGGAGGAACTCCCTATAAGGCCACGAAACGAAGCAGCCACTGGGGCCGTCGGTGGTATTCCCGATGGGGCCACGAAACGCGCGAGACGTGCGCCGAAATATCTGCGGTGAGCGCATGCGCACGCAGCCATTGAGGCCGTCGGTGGAGCCATGGTGCCGCGAAACGTGTGATGGGTGTACCGAAATGGGTGCGGCGGCCGCATGCGAGCGCAGCCACTGGCGCCTTCGGTGGAGCTCCCTGCGGGGCCACGAAACGCGTGAGCGGTGTGCTGGAATGGGTGTGCGTGACGCATGCGGGTGGTGGCACGGGGGCCTTCGGTGGAGCTCCCTGTGGGGCCACGAAGCGTGCGACGGGTGTGCCGAAATGGGTGTGCATGACGCATGCGGGCGGTGGCACTGTGGCCTTCGGTGGAGCTCCCTATGGGGCCACGTAACGTGTGAGGGGTGTGCCGAAATGGGTGTGCGTGACGCATGCGGGCGGTGGCACTGGGGCCTTCGGTGGAGCTCCCTGTGGGGCCACGGGACGTGTGAGGGGTGTGCTGGAATGGGTGTGCGTGACGCATGCGGGCGGTGGCACTGGTGCCTTCGGTGGAGCTCCCTGGTGGGCCACGGAGCATGTGAGGGGTGTACCGAAATGGTGTGCGTGACGCATGCGGGCGGTGGACTGGGGCCTTCGGTGAAGGCCCTGGGGGGGCCACGGAACGTGTGAGGGGTGTGCGCGAATGGGCGTGGGTGACGCATGCGGGCGGAGGCACTGGGGTCTTCGTTGGAGCTACTTGTGGGGCCACGAAACGTGTGAGAGGTGTGCCGAAATGGATGTGCGTGACGCATGCGGGCGGTGGCACTGGGGCCTTCGGTGGAGCTCCGTGTGGGGCCACGAAGCGTGTGAGGGGTGTGCCGAAATGGATGTGGGTGACGCATGCGGGCGGTGGAGGGGGGGGGCGATGATGGAGGAAGGAACGCGGGGGCCGTCTCGTCGAAACGAGGACCCAACACCTCAGGATGGTTGGGAATTACGGTCTCAGCCAGACAGATTCTGAGAACATTTCGCGCCCTTGAGATATTCTTTGGTGGGCCTATGAGCACCCCTGGGCGGCGTCTTCGACGCCGCCCGCCCCACCGCGCGTTGGAAGGGGTGTGAGGAGGGAGTCCAGCACCGATGAAAATGTGCCGCCCGCGTACGTCCGAAAATCGTATCACTGAGTTGAACAGGGACCGACCGCCTCGGCATTCTCGTAGGCCTAGCACGAACTTTCATTAGAAGGTAAAAGCGACGTATGAACACATTACGGTCTCAGCCAGAAAGGTTCTGAGATCATTTCGCGCTCTTGAGATTTCTTCGGTGGGCCTATAAGCAAGCCCGGACGCCTCGCCGCTGCTTCATTCCTGGCCCACGAGGTATGCGCCTGCCCTCTCGTGGACGCCGCCGCCACCTCGGCTGGCATGTCCCGACGAGGCCTCGGGGCCCGAAGCGTCGACCCCGCTCACCGAGAAGGGCCAGGGCCCGAGCGCGCCGTTCGAGCCAGGTGGGCATGAGAGACTGGGGGGCGGTCCCTGCCCGCCTCCGCAGGCCCCCGGGCCAGCCCGGGGCGGTCTCAACACCCCCGCGCCACCTCCGACGGCGCCCTCCTGGGCTGGCGTGTCTAGACAGCTCCGGGCTGCAGCCAGCATCGGCGGGCCTCCGCCTCCTCCCGCTCCTCCTGCCCCACTCCCCCCCTTCGGAGACGGCGGGTTGGCGTGGGAGTGCCGCCCTTCGGGGCTGGAGTGTTGGACCGTATCTCGTGGCACTCCCATGCTGGCTCGTGTTGTCTCGGCCGCTCGAAGTGTCCATTACATTCTCCCCGCTTCGGACTCCCCTCGCCCCTTCTCGAACTCCGCCTTCCGCATCCTCCGCGCGGCAGTCGCCGCGGCGCGGCCGCCGCCGCCGCGGCCGTGGAGGCAACCGCCGATGCAGCCGCAACGGCGACGGCAACCGCCGCGGCTGCGCCTGCCGCGCGAAGGTGCAGACGGTGGGAGATCGAGGGCCCTCTCTCGGCGGAGCGGCTCCCCAGCAAGGTGGTGGCCAGCAGGGGGCCGTCGAACCAGTGCAGCAACCAATCTGGCTGGGAGAAGATGCTGATGCCGGGGGCGTCGCCTCCAGGCCCGCGCTTCGTCGTCGTCGTCGTCGTCGTCGTCGTCGTCGTCGTCGTCGTCGTCGTCGTCGTCGTCGTCGTGTGAATCAAACGCACTGCTCTTTTTCATAGTCTGCACACCGCTCACGCGGTGGCTCACCGCTCTGCAGCGCCGGCCATGATGCGCAGCAGCGAGCCGTCAAATCAGAAAATCGATGTTTGGCGTTCGCAACACAATATACGTAGCTTTCTCTATCTCTGTCTGTGTCTCTGTCTCTCACGCTCTCTCTCTCTCTCTTTCTCGTTTTGTCTCTTTTTCTCTCTCTCTCTCTCTCTCCTGTACCTGCGGATATCCTGTTGCTCACCACCTTCTCTTCCCTCCCTCCTTCCCTCCTTCCTTCCCTCCCTCCCTTCTTCCCTCCCTCCTCGCTGCTCCATCTCCATTCTCTCTCCTTCCTCCCTCTCTCTTCTCTTCTTCCCCACCCCCCAATACACCACCTGATCCCCCCCTCCTCCTCCTCCTCCTCCTCCTTCTCCTCCTCCTCCTCCTCCTCCTCCTCCTCCTCCTCCTCCTCCTCCAACCCTCCTGCCTCGCTCCCTCCCGCTGCGGAGCCTAACCGCATGCCGATGATAATAAAGGGACCCCCCCCCCTTCAGTGTTTAGAGTTGATTATCGTCGCCCTATATAAAATTCAAATTGGGCGGCGAGCGCTGAGGCCGAACTTCATTATCACCTCGAAACGTTATGTTGAGATAGCAACATCAAGCGATGTTGCTATCCCCGCGCGCGCCTGAACTTTTTTATCTCTGGGGTTGATTATCCATGGAAAGGGGAGCACATGAGCTACCCTACACGAGCACTTAAAAAAATCAATTGTCATAAAGCGTTTGTAAATTAAAATTGATAGATTTGGAACTTTCCATTTTTCCGTTCTTCTTCTCTTCTTCTTCTTCTCTTCTTCTTCTCTTCTTATTATTATTATACTTTCCTCTTCTTCTTTTATATTTCTATCTGTCCTCACGCTCGCCTGAACTTTTTTATCCCTGGGGTTGATTATCCATGGAAAGTGAAGCACATGAGCTACCCTACACGAGCACTTAAAAAATCAATTTTCATAAAGCGTTTGTAAATTAAAATTGATAGATTTGGAACTTTGGATGTTTCCTTTCTTCGTCCTCTTCTTATTCTCCTCTTCTTCTTCTTTCTTATTATTCTTCTACTGTATTCTTCTTCTTTTATATTTCTCTCTGTCCCCACGCTCGCCTGAACTTTTTTATCTCTGGGGTTGATTATCCATGGAAATTGAGGCACATGAGCTACCCTACACGAGCACTTACAAAAAACAATTTTCATAAAGCGCTTGTACATAAAATCTAATATATTTGAAACTCGAGATTTTTTCTTCTCTTCGTCCTTCTCCTCCTCCTATCATTTCTTTTATTTTATTATTTATTCTTTTTATTTTTTATATATATAGCTTCCTCCATTCCAGCGAGATAAGCCATTGTTGAGGATATTTCTATGCAAACTAAACGCCAAGGATGTCTCAAAACGTGCTCGGCTTGGTCTCCTCTTGATCATCTCTTACTTCGAGATTATGCTGAGGTCTGCTGGGCTACTTTGATTATCTCTCCCTGAACCCCGAACTTTATTATCCCCTAGTGTTTATTCTCACGGGCATGAGGTTAGTGATTTGGGGGGTCATACCGCGGGCCTCTGGCAGCCGTTCGGTCCGATGCGGGCACGTCCCCAGAAACCTCTCGACGAGGCGCAGCTGCTGGAACGGATCCTGAGGCGAGAAGCTTTCCCAGAACCAACCAGCCCGCATCATCCGCGGCCCTCCCTCCCCCCCCATAGCCCCGCAGCTCCTTCCTGCCTCCCCATATCGGGCCGGGCGGAAGGGGGGGATAGCAAAGGGGGGCTTCTAGAATCAGCTCACGTAGCTGATTTTCCCGGCGCCTCCCGGCGCCGGAGGCGTCTGTGTATCGAGGAATGGGCCCCTCGGTGGGGCCGAAGCCAGCTGCATACAGCAGATTTGGTACCCCCCCCGTTCCCAATCCCCGCCTTTCGCTCGGCCCGACCATGGCCCCTCCAGGAAACTCGAGCGGCAGCCAGGCCGCCAGCGTCAGGAGGGTCTGGAAGAGCTCGGGCAGCCTGTGGGCCCGGGTGCAGCCCGCGGCCCGTCCACGCCGGGATCGGGGAGACGTAAGTAAGAGTCGGGTTCGGGGGACCCGGATTGGCCCGACGAACCAGCCTGAGATGTGACGCGAGCTCCCGCTGCAAACATCCCATGAAAATTGGACCGCCAAGATTCACGACGGGCCCGTCAAAGAACATCAGCAAACCCGAGTTCTGGCGAAGTCGAAACTAACGTTTCCCCGGCGGGAGGCAGGAGGCAGAATGAGGGCAGTCTCTCCTCGCATCGGGCGAGAGGGGGGTCGAGGTTCAAGGTGATCGGATGTGTTCGTCGGTTCCCGGCGGTTTCCAGATGCGGGATGCTGTCGGCTGCGCCTCGACGAGGGCGTTCCAGGGGTGGCTGGATCGTCCCGAAGGGCCGCTGAAGACGAGAGTTAAGATCCGAAAACCGGAGGACGAGGACCTGGACAGACGACGAGGACCTGCCCCACCTCCTCAACCTCCTCCTCCTCCTCCTCCTCCTGCACACTCTTTCTCTTCGTCCTTCCTCCCCCTCTTCCATTCCCGAAGCCTGTCGAAAGAGCGGGCCAGGCGTTTCGCCTGAGGTTTCCTCACCAATTATGTTCGTGAAACTTTAATTGCTGAAAAAGATGCACTGATGGAAGACGGATCGTTTTCAACATGTGGCTCTCGCCTTAGCGCCGCGCGCAACCGTCTTAAAGTATGCACAAACTTCGCAATTGGAGGGCAGGTCGTTTTCAAACTGCGGCTCTCGCTTTAGTGCCGCGCACGCTCGTTATAATTATCCGGGCGAAGGACCCAACCATATGCAGTTGTGGTTACCGCAATTGTGAATATCTTCTTCGGTGAAGCTCCCCATGGGGCCACGAAGCGCTGCAGTGGGTGGGAGGGAACGCATGCGGGCGGTAGCACTGGGGCCGTCGGTGGAGCTCCCTATGGGGCCACGAAGCGCTGCACTGGGTGGGTGAAAATGTCAAATTTGGTGTGTGGGACGCAAGCGGACGGTCCCACTGGGGGCTTCGGTGGAGCTCCCTATGGGGCCACGACGCGCTGTACTGGGTGTGGCGGTCGCATGTGGCCACCCCCACTGGGGCTTGGGTTGGGCTCCTTATGGGGCCACGAAGCGCTGTACTGGGTGTGGCGGACGCATGTGGTACCCCAACTGGGGCCGTACGTGGAGCTCCCAATGGGGCCACGAAACGCTGTACTGGGTATGGCGGACGCATGTGGTACCCCCACTGGGGCCTTACGTGGAGCTCCCTATGGGGCAACGAAGCGCTGTACTGGGTGTGGCGGACGCATGTGGTACCCCCACTGGGGGGGCGGGGGGGCACGGAAGGAGGAGACGCGGAGACCGTTTCTTCAAAACGAGGACCCAACACCACAGGATGGTCGGGAAAAACTGCAAGATGTTCACTCATGGTGAGCGGTTCCTACTCAGACAGCGGATCTCGCATGAGTGCCTAAGAGTTTGCATCAGTTTCCAGGATTCTCATGGCTGGCGACCCAGTGATGAAACTCTGGCAGCATGTCGGACTGTGAGGGTGCACCAGTTAGTTACGTTGATTCGTGGTGTTGAAATCACAGGAACGGTGTTCTGGCGCGACTCAGGATCGTCCAGACGTAACAATAACAGTGATTTCGCGGCGTTGGAGTCCCAAGGATGGCGTTCTGGCGCAATTCAGGACTTTCAAACGGCTGCTTTCCAGCGAGCCACTTCCTTCAATGAAGATTGCAGGGGGGGGGCCCATGAAGAGGGAACCTGGAGGGAGTGTTCACCGCCATATCGTCGATGAGTCTTGGGTTTGCACTGGTCCTCCTCCTCCTCCTCCTTCTTCCTGCTGCTCCTCCTCCTCAGCCTCCTCCTCCTCCTCCTGCGACTCACTCATCGTACTTCTCGCCCATTTCGTCATCCTGCATCCCCATTCCTCATAGATGACTCCTCCCTGTCGCACCCCCAGGCATTCCAGTAAGGCAAGATAGGCGTTTTGCTTGAGACTTCCACACCATTTGTGCTCCTGAAGCTCAACACGCGCAGCAGATACCAAGATGGAGGGGTGACCGTTCTCAGAATGGGGCCTGAGCGCTGTGCACATTCGTCTCTTAAGCTTGCAACAGTTACAATGACGGAGACCTGTTCCTTCTCAGTGGGGCTATCGCTTGAGCTCTCTAAAGCTTAATCATCAGAAGCCTGAACATATGAGACAGCTGCGTGGATGGAGGTCGGCTCCTGATCAACATTGGGGCTCTCGCTTGAACATTCGTCGGAGCTCATGGCTTTACGAGGATTGGACTTGGGACTGGAGGGCGTATTGCAGCATCGTTGATGCATTTTGGGTTTACTCTAGTTCCCCTCCTCCTTCTCCTCCCTCTGAACTACTCCGCCTCTCCCTGCTCCTCCTGCCCCTCCGCCTTGTCCTCCCCATGCTCCACCTCCTTCCCCTCCTGCTCCTGGTCCTACTCCTCGAACTACTAGTGCTCCTCGTCCTCCCTGGCATTTCGTTGTCCTCGTCGATATCCTGCTCTTCCTCCCAACTCTCCTCCTCCTCCTCATCCTCCTCCTGGCCGCCAGCCACATGATGGCGCCCTCGGGCTCCTCCGGCAGCGTCGCCGCAGTCGCTGGCGCCGCCGCGCGTGCGGGGGGCTTGTACTTCGCCTGGCGAGATGGCAGAGTAGGAGGGGCAACCAGAGCAGGCTGGAATGCGACAATCTGTGGTTTTTGCAAGCTTTTGGTTCTTTTGGTCGCCGCTGGCTGGATCGGTGTCAATGCTGAATTCCGTCCAGCACTATAGTCAATACTCACACCCAGACAGGTCCAGGGAGGATTTTGAGAAGGAGAGGGGGAGAGGGATGATGAAGAGATGGGGATGAGGAGGAGGAGGAGGAGTGGGAGTGATATGGGGGGAAGGGAAGGGAGAGACGAGCGGGAGAGAGAAAAAACAAGCTGACAGGAAATGGGAGAGGAAGAGTGAGAGATAGATGGTAGGAGAGGGAGGAGATCAAGGGGTGGGGAAGACGAGATTAAATTTGCCAGGCCAAAGTGCCAGAGGCGTGCTAGAAATAAGGGGGTAAAGTGTTTGATCATTGCTAAATCCCGCACGCCTGGCAGCCGATGGAAGCAACACACCTCGGCAAGGTCCCCCCCAAAATGCCGGAACTCCTGGCTGCGGGCTTCCGGACCCCTCCAGGAGCGCTGAAAAAGAGCTCCAAGGGACTGGCGACGCCCTAAGAACTCCCCAATACGGCCCAAGACGACCCAATATTCCACCAAGACAATAATAAAAACCTATTGATTGTCCTCTGGATTTTGAGCGATTCTAGCGATCTCATTATTCTGGGCTTCCGACGGCCTAGGACGACCCACGATGCCCCCGGGATTGCTCCAAGACGGCCCGAGAGGCCCCCAAGACAGCTCCAAGACGGCTCAAGAACTCCCCAAGACGACCCACGAGGCTCCCAAGAGGGCGTCTGCGACCGCCAGCATGTTCACAAGGGCCTCGCAGAAGGCCCCAAAGAGGCGTCCAGAGGCCCGAAGATGGCCTCAACATGCCCCCAAGAAACTCCAAACGGCACTGCACAAGAGCGACTCCCGAATAATCCACAGACCCAGGGCCCCCTACATGGCTCTGCAGGACCTCCACCACGTAACCACTTGCATTATCAGATTCCAGGGCTCCGATCCCTGAAAGTTCTTGCTTTCTCCAGATCAAGAACTTCTCTGAAGGAACTTCGGTGGGGAGGTGCTCCGTTTAGCGGTGCCCTGTCACTACTCT